TCAAGTTTTTGGTCAATTTTATTCTTCTGAAGAACTGTTAAGTTATCTTTACCGTGCTGCACAGGGGGAAGGATGCAGATTGCCACATAGTCAATGCTGGTGCTGCAGTATGCCTTGTAGACAACGCCCATGCCACGCCCCTCCCGCTATGGTAATAGATGTGTTGCGATGTAACCACAAAACATAGTCGATCTATCAGCTGTGTTGTATTACACAGCTGATTGATCATCATCACCTTTGTAGTTTCACATCTTCACCAGGAAATATAGTGACTAAAAAATGCTACTATAAAATTGCTAGTTCATATCTGTCGATCGATCGATCGATCGATAGATGTGTGTCAAGAAGGTGTTAAAAAAAAGACTCATTTGCGACTTAAACTCCAGGGACTTTAACTACAACTTCCTGTCTGACCTAGTTGTTAACTATATGACTAATATGTACAAAAATACAAAAAATATAAATATAGTGACTAAAAAATGCTACTACAAAATTGCTAGTTTAGATCGATCGATAGATAGATGTGTGTCAAGAAGGTGTTTAAGAAAAGACTCATTTACTCCAGGGACTTTAACTACAACTTCCTGTCTGACCTAGTTGTTAACTATATGACTAATATGTACAAAAATACAAAAAATAGCCTTCTTTCTATTTAAAATCTGTAATGTTCTATATGCAGCCTTCCTTCCACACTACACACACACATTCATACACACATCAACACACACTAACACCACTATAGTGTTTTATGAAATTTGGTTACGGGTGTTTTGTTTTTTTCTTGTCCCTTCATGACACGATTACACACAAAGTCAATGCATGCAGTTTGCGAGGTTAGGAACAAATCTGTGCCGCAGCCAAACAACGTTGAAAATTTGCTTACGATGTCACACACAGTACAAATAGACACGGCGTCCAGTGCAGGTAGTGTGGAGGAAAAAATGTACGACAAAATAATCATTGCGGTCTGTGGGCACCGGGACTTGGATAACATGGCCAGCTTCCAATATAAGCCAAAATAGGAGCAGGCTTAGAGAATGGGGAGCGAGGAAGTTGTCATAACTGGTAAGAATTTACTTGTTTACATTTGCTGA